GGCCGGCCCCGCGGCCATGGGTGCCCCGCTCCGCCCTGCCTCCCTCGCCGTGCCCAGGGGCCTCCTCGCGCGCCGGCCACGCTCCGCTTCTCACTGCCCCTGGGCCAGAGCCGCCGCCATCTTCTTCCCCCTCCTGCCCCGGCCCGGACGCGACTAAACGACAACGAGCGGGCGAGGCCCAAGAGCGGCTGCTTAATAGGGAACGCTGGGACGGTGGCGGGTGAGAGAGGCCGGGCCTTTCCAGCTTCATTTGAATATTCACATCAGGAGGGCCGCTCTGGTTCCCATCATGCACCGCGACATGAGACTAGTACAAAAATTAAAAGGATTTACGAGGATAAACATAAAAAAGCGCCACCCAACGTGTCAGACGACTTTTTATGCCTTCTCTAATTAGGAATACATCTCTCTGTAGCAACAATGTTGTTCACCCTAATATAGAAAAACATATGTATATGGAGGTTTAAATAGCAGTTTGGTCCCCGTTAGATTTGTGCTCGCTTCGGCAGCACATATACTAAAATTGGAACGATACAGAGAAGATTAGCATGGCCCCTGCGCAAGGATGACACGCAAATTCGTGAAGCGTTCCATATTTTTGGTGGACGCCTGGCTGGGCTTTACCCAGGTATGAGTTACTCCCCACAACTGAATACAGAGCCACTCCCTGTGCTGGGCACAGGGTGGGAGCCGCCCTCTGGGAACCTTTTACCAACCAGAGCTCAGCCCAGAGGACATGGGGATACACTGGGAAAGTCGCACCATGGGCATCGTTAAGAGGTCCGCCCAGCCACCGCACCATTATAAGGCCATACCGGGGCAGACCAATGGGCCAACTAGCCAAGTATCCTGTCTGCCGACAGTGGCCAATGCCAGGTGCCCCAGAGGGAGTGATCCTAACAGGTAACGATCAAGTGATCTGTCTCCTGACATCCATCTCCACCCTCTGACAAATAGAGGCTGGGACACCATTCCTGACCCCTCCTGGCTAATAGCCATGAATGGACTTAACCTCCATGAATTTATCCAGTTCTCTTTTAAACACTGTTATAGTCCTAGCCTTCACAACCTCCTCAGGCAAGGAGTTCCACGGGTTGACTGTGTGCTGTGTGAAGAAGAACTTCCTTTTATTTGTTTTAAACCGGCTGCCCATTAATTTCATTTGCTGGCCCCTAGTTCTTGTTTTATGGGAATAAGTAAATAACTTTTCCTTATCCACTTTCTCCACACCACTCATGATTTTATAGACCTCTATCATATCCCCCCTTAGTCTCTTCTTTTCCAAGCTGAAACGTCCTAGCCTCTTTAATCTCTCCTCATATGGGACCCATTCCAAACCCCTAATCATTTTAGTTGCCCTTCTCTGAACCTTTTCTAGTGCCTTTTCCAGATGCTGCAGAGGGAAATGAGCCGAACAGGGCAATATTCAAGTGAGCCATCCCACGCCATCCAGTCCCAGCCTCTGGCAGTCAGAGATTTAGGGACACCCAGCACATGGCTTGTGTCCCTGACCATCTTGGCTAACAGCTAGTGCTGGTCCTATCCTCCAGGTATGCATCTAATTCTTTTGTGACCCCCAGCTCTACTTTTGGCCTTCACAACATCCCCTGGCAATGAGTTCCACGGGTTGCCTGTGCGTTTTGTGGGTGGTTTTTTTTCCTTATGGGCCTTGTAGGAGGCGCATGGATTGAATTAGAACAAGGTGTTGGCTTGGCAAACAGAATGGGCGCTCCACGCGCCTACACCACAGCTGGCCTTACCGACGCTAGAGAATGTTCCCAAACACGTTCCCCAGTGGCTGCTTGCGCTGGCTCGGCGGCAGCGGCAGGAAGCCCAAATTTAGCCAAGATGCTGCCAGCATATTTACTGCTTGCTCCTACGCTCAGCTGTCCCAGTGGCTCAAACGACTGGCGCTTGCGCCATGGTCTGGTGCCCACCAGTAGCACAGCAACATGGCCCTACAACCAACACAGAAAACATGGCACTGTTGGCAAAGACGCTGGGAGAGCCCTGCTGGGCCCAGATGCAGCGGTGCAGGAGCTGTGTGAGGAGGATGCTATATAAATACAGGCGCCCGGGGAGGAAGCAATGCTTTACCCCGAACTGAGCAGCAGCCAACAAGGAGCAGAGACGCCCACCGGGCAACACACCAGCGCCTAGCTGTGGTGGTTGGTCTCTGGCAGAGTTATCACTTTAAATCCCAGCAACGCCTGTATTTTTTCATTCAGCGTTTGGAACCTATCCAGGGCTCTGGTGCCCAGCCCACAAATTAAAAATCACTCAGGCTGGTTAGCGACTGCTTCCGGCCCCTTGTTAAAACAGGCTTCCCAGGGCCCCCAGCACACCACACACAGCAATGGATTAACGTCGCAATCCCCCCAGTGAGATGGGTCCCTGCCAGGATCATCCCATCCCTGGTGGCCCCAGAGGCATTTAAAGAACCCAGCACCGTGCCCCCCCGCGCGCCTGGCTAACTCCCCCCCTCCAGAATCCACATCTGTTTAAACTTCCCCCGCAGGTCTATGTCTGGTCAAACTACTGCCTTCCATGTCTGGTTAAACTCCCTGATCCTGGGAGCTGTAGCTCGGATCACAGCTGACTTCAGCACTCTGGCTAGATGCAAATCACAAAGCGCCAGGTTACAGCCCAGCCCCCTTTCAGCAGCTAAATGTGATGGGGGTGCTGGCATTAACCACTCGATTACGCTTGAGGTTCCCAGGGAGGCCGTCCCATCCCTAAATCAGCCACTGCAGCTCCTCGGGCTGGGTGTGGTCTGTGGGATGATTAACTCCAGCTGTCTGAGGGGCCTGGGAAAGGACAGCTGGCCAAGGGCCAGTACCCCCACCCAGCCGTGAAACAGGAGGTGTCCTGCCGAGGGGGTGGGCAGCAGGAAAAACCACCTCTGTTGACACCTCAAAGCTCTTGCTTTGTGAATAAATCATTGATATATGGGCCCTTCCCATGCTTGGCCAGGTGGCTCTCTCTGCTTCACCGCAGTTGATTCTCACCGTGTCCTCATCCCACCTTGGTGCACTAAACAGTGGTTCTCAAGCCCTCTTTCTGGTCCTTTGACATACGTGACAAAGAACTCAGTGGCTCCTTGGCTCGGCACTGGCCACTGTGGAAAGGCGCCTTGCGACTACGGAGCCGTTCCGAGCTCCAGTGAGGGCCAGTTGGTTCTCTGCTGGCAACTCAACATCCCACCTGGTCCTGACAGAGAGCTGTGCCCAAGATGCTGCCTGCAAGAAGTCTGGCCTTGCCGCTCCCTTCAGTCACAAGCCCCAGAAGAACCAACTGCTCTGGGTGAGGTGACCTGGGAATAACTTTCAAACCCGTCAGCAAAACAATTGTAACTTGTTTTAGCCCTTTCATAAATAACCACTACAGGCTTTTGAAGCA